TGGTTGGGGGAGTGGGGCTTAATACCTTTTAATTGAGAAAGAAAATTGCAGTATTAACAAGTCATTTAAAAAAATTTACATATTATATCAAAATACTATAGCACTACTATAAATACATCTTAGAGCAAAAACATCATTTTGCACAAATATGAAGTTGAAAAAATCAATAAAAGCTAAGCCTGGCCCACTAAGGACATGAGTATCTAGCAAGGTTTAAACCCTGAGCTAGTCTGAAGGACATAAATATACAGGTAAATAAAAAAATTAAAAACAGCAGTAACCAAGAGGTGGATAACTGTTTTTCAGTGTTATCACACTGAACCAAAAAGCAATAATAGAAACAGTAGTCAGCAATATGGTGCATAGCTTGCTTAAATTCAACAATTATCATGGTCCTTTTTATTTTCTTCCCTACTCTTAAGATTTTTATCTCTAGAAAGCTTTGCCAATCCACACCTCTTTGCCTTTGCTTTGGAGAATGTAATAGAGTAAAACTGATACCCTGCAAGTGGGAGGGGTTGGAGGACAAAGAAAAGGAACAAAAAACGGTTAACTAAAAACTACAGATAACAGGAAGAACAAATGACCTTTATCCTAAACATTTTGGGTCATCTATTAAGGGCCATCCCCTTATTCAAGTTAAAAACTATAAACAAATACAAATAACATGAAAAAATAAAAAGCAAACAACCAATAGACCTCACACTAACCAATTGCCTTAGCCTTCTTCTGCTCTTCTTCTGATAGGGAAAGTGCAATAGCATGATCAATATCTTCATTTTCATAGTCTGACAGGGCATCCTACATCCAAATCAAAGAAAAATGAACTTCGCAAGAAAGCAAAACATAGAATTTCTAGAGGAAACAAGCACCCAAAACCGACTCCAATCAGTTCGCAAAAGTCATATAGAGCATCTAGAAATTATAATGTCATAGCCAATATGCACACACATGATGTACAAGATCTAAATAACTAAGTTATATAAACATAGATAGTACTTTTAGGACACAATCAATTAATTTTAAATTAGAAACTTTAATAATGTGTTTCAAGAAATTTGATACAAAATATTTTATAAAAAATAATGTTTAAGGCAATGTTTTGCAAACTCATTAAACAAGACCAAGCGGAGACAACATTGGTCCTAAGGTTTGGTCCTAGTTCACCGATTTTGGCCTCAAACTAGTTCTTTTTTTATCCACCCCTCACCATGGTTTACTTTTGAACCTGTTTAGAAGGAAACTAGTTCATCGCTCATTTGCCAAACTTAGCCTAAGATACGTATTTATTAATTTAACTATTAAAATGTTACACTTTCTTTTACCTATTTAAGTAGCAAATTGTGCCACTATATTTTTGTATCTTTATTTTCACTATTCCATACCATGCCAATTATCATTGATCTAAATGCAAAAAAGATTTCTTAGCATCAGTTTTCTATAACTAGTCTTCAACCAACCTCGACAGTTATAACTATTATTTAATTTTTTGTATTTCAAGACTTAATATTAATAGAAGTATTTTAGTGTTTTAAATCCATCTGTTTTTTCTTTCACAACCTCTAGCATTCAAGGCCTCATTTGTAGTTTGGTTGTAAATTTCAACTGTTTGTATATTTGATTGAAAAGGATTTATATGTTTTTTGTTTGATTTAGAGAGAGAGCACATTTAATAAGCAGAGGAGATGGAGAAAATGTCTATTCTTTAAAACCTACCACTTTTCCTTCAATGAAAAATTTCCCTAAAATCAAAGATGAAGGAATGGGGAATTCTCCCCCATTTCCTTAACTTTTCCTATGCTCACTATGTTGTTAACATAGTACTATAGTATTAGTTTTTTAATATAGTAGTATAGATATCCACCAGCAAAAGTAGTTTCATTTGGTTTTTTGGATTATATCATGCCTAAGACAAACTCAATTCCTACCCTAATTAATATTACCCTAAAATCAAAGCTGAAGGAATGGAGAATTCTTCCCATTCCTTCAACTTTTCCTACCGTCACTTTTTTTTAACATAGTACTATAGTAGTAGTTTTTGCTTTTTAATATAGTAGTATAGATATCACTAGCAAAAGTGGTTTCATTTTTCCTTTTGGATTACATCATGCCTAAGACAAACTCAATTCATATCTAATTTAATATCACCCTTCCTTTATTCTTCAAGAACTTTCCTAGGTTACATAAGGTCAACTAACCATAAAAGTTAACCAATAATGATTCCCTGCTGGTGTATTCATTCATCTTTCAAATCATTATCTGATAATAGTCAAAATTTTGCTCAGAAAAGACCTTCTGGTCGAACTTTCTCACACTCGCATGTCCGACTATTTAAACATCAAATGATCAAATACAGTTGCAAAGCAGAAGCATGCCCTCTGACACTATGCTTGCAGTTGTAAAACTAGAATGGTTAAAACTTAAAAGAACATGATATGTCATGAGATGCTTCAAGTTACATATCCCAATAATTATTGGAACAATCATATCCCATATTGAAAAAGTAGGCAATTTAAAAATTGCAACATATCTACAAACAACTTATCACTCATACATTTTCTCTGAAAAAGCTCTTCACTCATATATTAGATCTCTAACTTGTTACTCGTTTGCAAACTTTAGAGTATCTATCATGTACCCAACATGTATTGTACCAAGCTATGTTACCTGGGTACTTCATTCATGAAGTCATACCCGTACCCGACACTTACTCGTACCCAAACTTCATGGACGCTCCTTGGATGTACGAATACATTTACCCAAACATGCACTCAATTATACGATATATGTTTTAATAAAAAATACTTGTCATACACTTCTTGGACCTATATCCTACACTTCATATCCATTTTCTGAAACTCGTTAGCCATGGGTCCGGTTGTTTCAGCCTATATTCAACTTAAAGACTATGATTTAAAAGGGTAGTTTTGAGTGTCTAGCTAAAAAACCAACAGTTTCTAATTTATAATAATCAACATGATGAAAGATAAAAGAAACTTAAAAATATGATAGGAAATTAATTTCAAATAGCAAATGAATTAAAAAATAATAATGATCTCATGTAAATTATTAATTTTGAGATATATATATAGTCGTGTCCCCATACCCTATATTTCACAAAAATGCCGTGACTCGTACCCGTACCCGTACCCGCACCCGCATCCGCACCCGTATCGGTACTCATACTCATTTGCATGCAACTTAGGTACCAAGTATGTGATATGCATCTGATTAGAGGGTGGTCATACATCAAAGTATCTATGTGCAGTTGATTTCAAACTTTATGATTCCGCCAATATAGTACTTCAACATAGCAGTCAGCACTATAAAGGGGAAGCTATAAAAGGGAATCAAAATATAACCTCTAACAAGTTGCCAATATCATTAAATTAGCCTGGGTTGGGTATATATGATGTATGAAATTTTTCAGTCTAGATAATGATTTTTAGTAAAAACTCAAAGATACACAAGCAAATGTGTTAAAGGAGAAGGGAAAGGGATTCTGAATTACCAATGAATTTGAGGGATCATCCCAAACTCTATCATCCCCAGATTTCCCAAGATACTGTCCTTCTGAAACTTTGTGGCTGGAACCTTTAAAAATTTTGTTCAGCCAACCCATACTTGAGATGTTATCTGGACATGAATAGAGATGGTCTTCCTGCAAAAACAATATAAAAAGTGGATTCTTCAAGATAATAAGGCACCAAAAACTAAGTTTTCAAACTTACAATCGCCATTGAGCGATAAAATGGAACTTAATAATGACCAATAACAGTTACTGTACAATTTCGCTTGTTATTTCGATCACAAAACGAGGGAACAGGTAGTCTGAAGAATTAAAAAAAAAACCAATCTAATAGACTAGATGATTTGCAAATACAGCGGAAAGAAAAATTCTCCATCCAAATATACAATGGCTTGAATCACCAAAATCAGACTGAAGAAAGAAATAAAAAAATTTAAAAGACCCAAGTAAGTAAGAATCAAGGCCAATGATATAATCTATAGATCCTGAATCCTCCGTCAAGATCTCATAGACACCATACATCGAACGTACCCATCCCAAATCATTGGTAATCCAGTAAACGTATAATCAATACTCACCTGAAATCTCTTATATCCAAAACTGAAAAAAAAAATCTTCGCTGTTGAGGGAGACCCAGATCAAAAAAGGGCCAAATCTGAAAAGATAAAATTGACATAATGCAGCAGTCAATCAATCAAAATATATTACATTTATTCCCAGTCCAAAAGTCAAAAAGGAAAAGGAAAGGAAATAACTTACACCCACTTGAATTTAATCAGTTAAAAATTGAATTTATTGTACTTTTTTCCTCCAACTTCACAGCAAACCCATGAGAGGAAATTGGTTGGAGAAGACGCAATCAGACGACCCATGTGGATCAGTACCTCAAAAATTCAATCTAAAAGTTTTTATTAATGGAAGAGACCAACAAAGGAAGCAAGCAAGAAAAATGTAGTATATACAGGGTTTAATGCGTTGGGATGTATATAATATATACCTTGAGTGAGAATAAACACATTAGAGATGGATCCTTTATGGGTTTGAGTACTTTCTACTTTTACCCAAAAAAAGGCATCAGAGGATTGAAAAGGAGAGAGATCTTTGGGAAGAACCCACCAACAACTGAGAAAGTGGGAATGAAAGTTCATGTAAGAAAGAGATTGTGATGCTTGGGAAAATCTTTGAAATCATCCAGCCAAGGGCTTTTTTAGAAATATATGTGATTTTTTTTAATTTATGTTTTTTAATTACCGGATTCAATTCTAGATTTCTAACTTTTCTATTTATTCTTCTATTGATCTTTCTTAATTTGATTTTTCTCTTCCTTTCTTGATCTCCCTCTTGTTGATTTTTGTTATGATCTTGTTATTTCTTATTTTTCTTTTCTTTTTAGTTGCTTCCTCCTTATTCTTTCTTCCCTCTTGTTTTAGTTTTTTTTTATTTTTGTGACAAATTTATCCCTACATCTATACTCTTTCACTGTTACTCTTTTTTGTCCATGTTTTTTTAGAACCATATTTAGAATTTTCAAACACACATTTTCCTTATGAGTTCGATATCTTTAATAATATACTTGTTAGTTGTAGTCTTACAACTAGCATGTTTTTATGCCAATCAAGTTTTGGCATCACTGTTAAGGAAGGTGCTTGTAGAATAGAATTTTTCTATTTTGGTTTTTTAACTTATGTGTTTGCTTTGTAAAAGACTAAATTAGAAGAATGAAAGTTGAAGATTAAAGAAAAAGATTTGCTTGATAGGTGAGTCCTTTTTCTAATATTTTTAATTTCACCTTCTAGTTAGGCTTTTCGCATTAGAGATAATAGGAACTAATAAAAAATATTTTTCTTGATGACCCTCATAAAATTCACCCTACACTTGAACAACTGCTAAATTCAAACAAGAACTCTTTTTCTCACATTTATTTTATTATTGGCTCTAGTTAAAAAATATATTCTTTTTGCATTCTTTTGTAGTTGCTTTTAATTCTTAGGGTTGTGTGGTATATAGTTAGTACGAATTTACCAAAGTGATTTGAGTATTTTGATTGAGCACTCACTTGAAAATACTCTTAAAGGCAAAAACACTTAATCAAGAGGGATTTCATCACCATTTTATTAAGCTCACAAATCACTAATTCTCCACTACACGAAACCAAACATTCAAAAACTCATGATGTTGGCCCATAAGGACTCGAGCTCATTAAAGAATTAAAAATCCTTAAATGAATCAGGTTAAGTTTACTTGAATCCCTTAGTGTGTAAGGTAAGATTTAGGGGTTGTGTAAAATACTACACAAGAAAAGAGGTATTTAATTGGTCATTGACCTCCCTCTAACATTATCTTTACTTGGCTAGTTGAACAAGTAAACTTTAATCTTTTCACTCAAGGAGTTTTGGTTGGGAGCTAATCTAGTTGAGTTTAGGCTTAATCTTAGAAGTAAGGATGATTGTTTCAAGTGGTTGCTCTTGATTTGTTTACTTAGGTTTTTCTTTTATCATTCTTCTTTTCTCTCACTAATTTATTAGATCTTTTAGTTTTTCTTTTAAAACAATATAAAAATATTAAAAAATTAATTAACTTGTATTTGTCTTAGATCTTTTCCTAAATTCCTTTTTAGTTATAAAAACTAAAAAGAATTTGCTTTAGTATATGCAAGTTTGGATTAGGGATAATATAAATCATTTAATTTGTGTTGAACTAATTTTTAAAACTAAAGAAATGGCACGTCTGAATGCACCCTTTCTTCAAGACATATGTTATCCAACTAGGAATGCAATCTCATCTCGCGTTAGGGTTTTTCATGTTAATGAGTCTAATTTTGAGCTTAGACCTCACTTCATAAACATGATTTCAAAGTTCTTAGGACATGAATCTGAAGACGCCTATATTATTATATCCAAATTTGTAGAAGTGTGTCTCATGACTAAGTTTAGAGAGTTATCTGAGGACGCGATTAAGCTCAGATTTATCCCATTTACTCTTAAAGACAAAGCAAAGAAACGACTGTATAGCTTATCCAAAAATTCTATCTCAACCTGTGATGAATTTGTTATCATTTTTCTAAAGAATTTTTTTTCCTAATTCATAGAACATTAAAGCGTAGGAACAGTAGTTAAAATTTCAAGAAATTCCTAGGGAACATACCTATTGAAGGAGACAAAAGTGTTATGAAATTTATTGTACTTGAATACTATAACTAGAGTTCTATTTGTATAACAGTTGTATAATTTCTTGAAGTTCGAAATTTTTAGTATGTAAGACTAGAATAGGATTAGGATTGAAGTTAGTAATTAATATATGATTAGTTTTATTTGTCATAAGTTTACGCATAGGGCTTGGATAAGCAAAACCTATATCCATACATCAGTACAAAAACAAATAACATATCTCCTAATTAAACATATACACTTTAGTGCGTTCAGATTAGGACGACTTGATTCAGTTTTCGTTATGTATTCATGATTATTTGATGTTTGAATTTGGATTGAAGGCCATCAAAGGAAAGACTTCAAGTTAGAAATCTTTAGAGGGGGTTAGCCATCTAGAACTTTTTAATTTGAACTGGGATAATTTGTAAAATGGGATAATTTTTTAACACTGGGATAATTTAGTAGAACAATGACGGATAATTTCTGAAGTGGAATAATTTGGTAGGATAATTTGGTGGGATAATGGTGGATAATATTATGAAGCTGTATAATTTGATAGGATAATATTTGGTGGGGGTAATGGTGGATATATATTATTATTGTTAATAATTGTATATTAAAAATAATATAAGATTGATTAGTAATTGATTAGTCTAGTAATAACTATAAATATAAAGCAATAAAGCATAACTATTCATCTCAAAAAATAAAATACTTTACAACTAAATAAAAATCTAAATTCCTAGAGTGACTCGACTTCCATCATCTAACATGGCCTCTGCCATTGAATTTCTCCAAGCTCTTGCCGCTACTCGTTGAGTCTATTGAGCCTGTAACTCGTCTTCTTCATCGGGGTCATCATCTGCATTAGCAACATTTCATGGATCTTCTAGTGGAAGATCAGAAATGTCAAAGTCATCATTTGTATTCTTCAATCTTAAAAAGTTATGCAGTCCTACGCATGCAACAAACATCTTTATTTGTGTGACACCTGGAGGTTGGCTCTTGAAAATAGTGAATTTAGACTTAAAAACTCCAAAGATGCGCTCAACACAAATTCTAAGAGACGCATGCCGATGGTTGAAAACTTCTTTTGAATTTCGTGGTCGTTGTCGATTATTAGTAGGGTCGAACTCTGAAAGATGGTACCTTTAATCTCGGTATGGAGCAAGAAATGTTAGCCTATTTAGATAGTCGCAGTCAACTGGATAAAATTTATCTACAAAAAAGAATAAAAATATGAATGAAAAAAAATATCATAAAACTAAAAATATTCTGTAATTGATAGAATACTATGTAAAGATTATTACTCTGAGGGAGTGAAAGTCCATAAGGTATACTCATCGCATCCTTCAAGACTCTTGCAACATTAGAAGAGTCCTCTATAAAACCCCGTAATACTGAATGTTGTGAGATATAATAATAAACATATTATATTATGATAAATAATGTTTATTAATATTAGAGTATGCTAGGAATTGATTTGAGATCAATCCGATACATATATATGAATATATGAGTGCAAATGCACAAAACATGCACGAGAAAAAAATCTGGGAAAAATAACCAGTTAAGAGTTTATAGATTTTACAGCACAAAACATGCACGAGAAAAAAATCTGGGAAAAATAACCAGTTAAGAGTTTATAGATTTTACACAATAATTCACTTAGAATCTGGGAAAACTCAAAATACTAAAGTTGTAGGTCTTTTCAACATCTTTCTAACAAAGCTTATATCACCTCATTCCGAGGTCATACGCGAAAGTTATTGCTAAAATACCGAAGGTTATTTTCCTAGTCAGACTAGGTTTACTGGTTCGGGTCAAACGGGTTTATTTCTGGTTTGTATATATATACTTATGTTTTCACAAAAATTATCATCCTTACATCAAAGTTTCAAACTCTAGCAGTCCCTATTTCTCTCTCTTTAAATACCTAACCCTAAAATTAAGAATTTTGAGAGCTTTGTGAAGCAAATATCGACACAAAGGGCGAGATTATCGACGTGTAGCAAGGAGAAAACGGGTTGTTTACACTTCTAATTACTTGTTGTTTATCTCAGAGGCTTAGAAAAACATTTGAGGCAAGATTATCTTCATCCAAACCTATCCTCATAGTTAAATAACTAGTTTAGATGATTAATATGATGTTGAATATGTGTTTTCATGCTTTAATCTTAACCTGAGGTGTTAAAAGTCAGATTTTTTTTAATAGTAAACCTTAAAACAAATGCTAGATGAATAATCTTTTCTTGCTATTTTTGATAGTATCATAATCATGATCATTAGGGGTTTTCATAATTTTATTCATATATGAGAAATTTAAGTGATGTACTATATATATGTTTTTCTACAGAAAACTGCAGCACTTATATAATCTTTAATTGAGAGTTTAAGATAGCAAACAAAGTCCAAATTTAACTAAACTAGTTTTATATGAAAGATATATGTATCTAGTTTCTAAAACAGAAAATCATTCTTAAAAAGAGTTTGCATAGAGAAAGATATGTTATTTTTACTAACAATATGCCCTGTAGAAAAACGGCTTCACATATATAATGTTTAACTGGAGATTTGGGATAACAAATGAATTCCAAACTGAACTAAACTTATTTCATTTGAAAGATGTGTGAATCTAGTTTATTAAACAGAAAACCATTTATAAAAATAGTTTTCCTAGAGAAAGATATGCTTGTTTTACTAACAGATATCACGTCTGTTTTTCATGCTCGTTTTGTGGACCTGTGTTGCACCGTTTTGTGGTGCGTTCGCGTAGTTTTGAGCCGTTTGATATTATACGTATAGTCATGATTATGTTATGTTATATATTTAAGAATTTCAAAGGGATTATGATGAATTTTAATTTGATCATATTTGAATTAGATATAGTTCATATACATGTTGGATGTCATTGATGAGCACAGCTTAGTACTATATGGGATAGTACGTCGACACACCAGATATACACAGTTTATACATAAGGTGGATATCGTTGATGAGCTTAGTTCAGTACTACATAAGGTAGTACGTCGATATTCCACATGTACAGGCCATTGAGTCGGATTTTAGGAGGCTTGATCTAGCCGTCCATCCCGCACTAGGGTGTGATGAGGCTCGTGA